AGGTGCCTTGAGGCTTTTTTCTTTGTGGGTCCTACAGGCCTGATGTGTAGTATCAGCTCAATAAAAGCAGGCTGGATTTAATTAAGGGGGTTCCTGAAGGCGGTGCTGGAGTTTCCCTTTGTTAATGGTGTGGTGAAGAGGAGGTGGGAGTTTGCAAATGGAGAGAGGCTGACTTGCCTGCCCGACCCCTGCCCCTGATCCCCTCTGAGGGCAGTGCTGCCCCGCTGACTGCTGGGGACTGGGGTGGCCCCCTCCGTTTCCATGCAGCGGCAGCCTTCCCTGCCCAGCAGGAGCTGGCTCCCCGGGTTGCCAGAGTGATCACTCTCCAGAAAACACCCCAGTGGAAACTGCATGAATGATTGATAAGAGCTGAGAGCTGTTTAATTTTTTCCCCCTGTTTAATGGCTATCAATAATTTAATACGCTCTCTGTATGTTTTTAAGAAATAGCACCCATTTCGCCGTCTCCGGTTTAGCGGGCTAAATGATTTAAGTGTTGGAAATGTGCTCTGAGGATGGAGGTTGAGTGAGTCGGAGAAATCTGGAGGCTAGGGGTAGGGGAAGGCAGGTTCAGAGCCAACCACAGCATCTTGGCCTGGGAGTGTGTGTGCGTGCGTGTGTGTGTGTGTGTGTGTGTGTGTGAAGGTGGGAGGGAGAAGGGAGGGAGGGAAGGGGCGGGTAAAAGCCAGCTCCTCTCTGCTAAGAGCAAGATAATTGCTTTTCCGGGGCCTCACTGAGCAGCAGCTGAACAGCTGTCAGCACCCCCCTCTCAAATGCTAAGCTTTTTTTCTGGATGGCTCTGGGGGGCCCAGGGGGGCTAGGAAGGAGCTGCCGCCCGGTATCACCACGGGCTGAGAATCTCCCCTCCCCCTGACATCTTTGCCCCCTCCTAAAGCTTCTAAATCATTTTTATTTTAACGATGCAGTAAGGCTGCTGCCCGGGTGGTGTCTTCCAGATGGGGTGTGGGTGGTGGAGTGGAGTGAGGGACTCAGAGGGACCTGGAGGGTCATCTGCCAGTGCTCCCCCAAACTTTCCAGATGCAGAGCATCACCCGAGAGGACTTGCTAAAAATTTGAATTTCTGGGCTGTGTTCCAGACCCATAGACTTCCATTCCCAGGGGAGAGGCCTGGGAAGCTGTGGGTTTAACAATCAGCCCAGGTGATTCTTAGCAGAGGAGTTTGGGAACTACAGAGTCCAGCTCTGTTCTGGTGCTTACAGCACCCACAGTACCATGTGGCAGCTCCCTTCTGCTTGCATGCCTCTGGGAATGAGGTACTCACCACCTCTCAAGGTAGCAGACCCACTTGTGGAAGGCGTACTCTAGTCCAGAGTTGCTTCTGATGTTAGGCTGTGACCTACCCAGCTGCCCTTGTGGGCTTGGAGTTTTCTCTGCTATGGGACAGACCGTGTTTCCTGGGATCTGATGTCTTTCCCTCTCCCAGCCTCGCCACTTTCTGGCTTGTTTGGGCCTCTCTGCTGGGTAAGGAGCTTCCTCTCTTAGCAAAAGGTCCTGGAGGTAGAAGGCAGAAAGGTGACAGGTGCTGTGGCCTGCCTGTAGTGCGTGAGGTGGCTGCATCATCCTACAGCTGGTAAGCATCATCGCGGGTACAGTGGGGACCCTGAGGAAGGCGGAAAGAGGCTGGGCCTGAGCACCACCTTGGCCTATCAAGAACTCCGTTCCTCCCACGGGAGAGAAAACTGGCTCATCAGAGATCGTTGTGTCAGCCATAGCTCTTAGATGACACTGGGGGGACCTGAGGGCTGAGAGATTTCCCCAGAGGCCACATATCTATTTAGGACAGAGCTGGAGCTGCAAATATGGGGGCAAGAGGCCCTTAGAGGGGTGGCCAGGCCAAGGCCCTGGTTTTAGGGATCAGCTGAGGCCCCAGCCAGTCACTCACCTGAGGTCGGACGTGGGAGGGCTTCCGCCTTCTCAGTCACTCGGGGCTGATGGACAATTCATGGAGTCAATACGTGGAAGGATTTTGGTGGAGCCGATGCCCAGACTCTGTCTGGCATTACAGCTCTTCCTTCTGTCTGCCCAGCAGTTCGCATTGTTTTGCCAGAGGGTGTAGCATTATACTACTACCATGGGTCTCCCAATTTTGTTTTAATAGATAATTAAGAGGGGAGGAGTGGCACACATTTACTGGGCATCATGGTCTACTGCAAAATGGGGAGTATAATCCCCACCATAAACCCTGCACTCTTAGCCCCTTACCGCATCCCCAGATTCAGCCCCACCCTCCATCTCCGTGGGAGAAGGCTGGGACCCCAGGAGAGAATTGCCATTTTGGGTGCTGGCAGCTGACCCATCTTGTGATCCCAGTCCCCCATTCTCCCCTGAAACCTGCTCTGCCCTCACAGTATGGCTGGGGGTGTCTCGACCCTGGGGAAAGATGAATAGGGGTGCCACCCAACCGTGATAGAGCTTCTGCTTAGAGAGCTCTGAGAGCTGGGAAGGCAGAAGAGAGACTTACACACCCTGGGGAAGACCCAGCCCCAGAGAGAGAACTGTGTGAATATGGACACCCAGGCAAGGCCTGGGGAGGTCAGGGAGGGCTTCCAGGAGAAGGTGCCACCTGACTGCAGGCTTGAGCATGGTAGGAAGGGGAAGGGCATCCTGGGGTGGAGGTGTGATGCAGCCTGTGGAGGTGCACCAAAGAGTGACGTAGAGCCTGCAGGGCTGGGGATGGGCTACAGAGGCCAGCCGGCCAGGGCGGGGCTGACCTGATTCACCTGGGCAGAGAGCCATGGAAAGATTTGTCTTTAGTTCCCATTGAAGTGTTACACCCATGCAGAAAAGTGTGTATCTCCTACATTTGTAGCTTGACAAATTATCCTGAAGGGCACATGCTTCTGTAGCCGCCAGGCAGATCAAGAAACAGAACCTTGCAGACCAGCCCCTGTGCCCTCTAGTCACTGCCGCCTCAAGGATACTGACTGTCCTGACTTCCAGCCTGCTGTGAGTTATCTCCTGCTGCCCAGCACACCACCTGAAAACTTGGTGGCTTAAAGCAGACACCATTTATGAAACCTCACAGTTCTGTGGTTTGGCTGGGCTTCTCCCCCGATTCCCTTCAGCTCATGTGGCTCCAGTCACCTTTGAGGGTCTGCTGGACTGGAAGGTCCAGACGGCCTCAGTCACACAGGCAGTGGGTGCTGGCTGTTGCCGGGGGAGTTCCCCACCCTCCAGGAAGACAGACACCTCCCTCCATGGCCTGCAGCCTCCCAAGAGAGGGAAGGCTAGAAATGGCAGGACCTCTTGAGGCCTAGTCTCTATAACTCATAAAATGTCACTCACACTGAATCCTATTGATCTAAACAACTCTCAAGGCCAGCTCTCAGTGGGTGGAGAACAGACTCCACCTTTTGATAGGAGGAACTCCCGAGGACCCTGTCGTATTTCGTCTATTACAAGCGTAGAGTCTTTTTGCCCTTCTTGACCTTTATATAAATGGATCTCTTAAGTGTATTCTCTGTTGTGCCTGGCTTTTTGAGTCAACACTATGTTTGCAAGATTTACCGGTGGTGTTGTTGGATGACGTTGCAGATCACTCATTCCCAAGCCTGTGCAGCAGTTTGTTGTGTGGAAACACCAGTTGACCCATTCTGTGGTTGGTGGCCATTTGAGAAGTTTTCATTTTCTGACTGTTATGAATTGCCTTGCAACGAGCATTCTAGCACATGTCTTCTGGTGAACATATGCACATTTTTCTGTGGACATGGAGTTGCTGGGTCATGGGAGAGGTCACAGGGTAAGAGACCCTTCCAAACTGTTCTTCAGAGTGGTGGGACTAGTGTCTAGTGTGTGCCCCACCAGCAGAAGGGGACTTTAGAAGACCCAGATGGGCTGGAGGTGCATCTCGTGGACACTGGAAGGGGCTTCCCATGATGTCCCCTCTGCCCGCCCTGAGCCTCAGGCCCCCAGGTCGGGGGAAGTGAAGCCCTGAGGCTGATCCCTCTTTTCTGAGGGTGAGCTTTCCTGCTGCACTTTTTCCACCCCAGAAGCCTCCCACTGCCTTCTCCTTTTCCCAGAAGCTGCCTTTCATGGTTGACCTGACCCTCAACAGTCAGGGAAGCCAGGGGTCTGCAAATGCAGGAGCTGGGGGGAAGACGGCCACATTGCTTCCATCCCTGAGGAGGTTTGGACTTCACTCCAGCCTTGCCTTTCACCATGTGAGGAACCCTTTCCCTCTCAGGGCCTCAGTTTCCTCATTTGTAAAATGACAGAGAAAAGTATCAACCTCACCAAGTCTCTCTCTTCTCATCAACCTGGCCCCATATTCTAGAATTGAACAGAGGAAGGGATGCGGGGAGGCCTCCTGCCTTCAGTCGTCCCATGTTGTTCTGTTTGTTCACTGCACACCTTCACGGCACCATTCCTCCATCAAGGAGTCTCTGTGGTCTTTGTTAACCAGTTCAGAGGACAGAGAGAAACTAGACCTCGCTCCCAATGTCCAGGAGCTGGGCCTGGAGCGGGAGAGTGTCCGGTGGGAAGCGGGAGGAGGCAGGGTTGGCCAGGTGCACAGCCCACTGGAGACGAACGAGCAAGGAGGGGCAGGTGGGAGAGGGCTCCACGGAAGCACTTGAGCAGAGTCTTGAAGGCCAGGGGCCCTTGAAAGACAAGAGAAGTGGGGAGAAGAGCTCTGATCGGGGCACCCAGCGTGTGCCAAGGCCGGAGCCAGGGGCTCTGGGAGGCTGGGCTGACTGGAACCCAGTGGTGGACGGGCAGGTTTGGCTGCTGCTGTGGTCTGTGGCTTTCAGGGCTGCAGGGCTGCCTGGCCGGAGCTGGGGCTTCGAATGTGCCATTCAGGAGCTGCGACCTTTATTTGGCAGTGGCGGGGCGGTATCCAGTGTCTAGGGTAGCTCCATGTTGGTGGGCCAGTTCCATCTTCCAGGAGATGGCAGCAAGGACCTAGAGGTCCGTGATGTGGGTGAGGGGCTGCCCGCAGGGTCAGAGCGTGGAGCTCACTGTCCCCTTTCTTGTCTCCCACAGGACTCACGGCAGCTGTATTCTGATTTCGTACTGCTGCTGGGGCTGCTGCCTCGTCCTCCAGACACTCTCAGCAGACTTGAGTCCTGGTCCTTCGGCGGAGGCCTGAGCAGGTGAGTAAGATGGGCTGGCCCTCTGGTGCTATGCACCTGCTGATGTGGGGCAGACAGGGAGTATGGGCCACCCAGAGTGCATGGTGCTGTTTCAGGGGTCCAGAGGGCTGGGGAGGGGTGGGGCTTCTTTCTCAGTCTTTATTTGTTCCCTGGCCTTTTCCTCTCAAAGGAAGCCACACAGAGGAGGGTTGTGAGTGTCCTGACCTGGGACCTAGACATTGGATTTTATTCTGCAGCCAACTCTCACTGTAGCCTTGGGTAGCCCTTTCCTTCTAGAGGGCCTCAGCTTTCTACTCTAGTCTATGGAAATAACAGTAATGATATCCTCTAACCCAACAAGCACTTAGCTGTATTCTGGGTACTGTGCGAAGTACTGTAGAGTTGTTACTTCTTTCAGCATCACAGCAGCCTTATGAGGGCATGCTGTAATCACCAGCATTGTACATGTGAGAAAACTGAACCTCACTCAGGACGTTAACTTGCCCCAGGCGGCACACCTAGCTGAGCCTAGGGTTCAAGTCCAGGTCTGTGTGGCTCCAGTGTGCCAGGCACTGCCCCCCTGGCCTACTCTGCCTCTGGCCTTGCTCCTAGCTTCTTCTTGGGAGTGGGGATCTGGGCAATTATGGGTGTCTTCAGAAGTGCCGGATCCTGTCCCAACTCAAGAAAAAGGGAGGGGGGCTCTTACCAGGTGACAGGCTCCTCGTGGGTCTGCAGTCATGACATCACATGTGATGTGATGCGACAGGGACCAGGCCTGGTCTCCAGGTACCTCTGAGGTGGCAGCCAGGGCGCCCTCTAGAGGAGGGGTGTGTAGGCTGGATAAGGCTTTCTTTCCCTCTGCACCTCACGTTTGTTTTCCTAAGCTTGTATTAAATACTGTGTGCCAACTCCTGGATTAGGCACCCACCGCAGTGCAAGGGAAAGGGGCCTGTCCCAGTCTCTGCTCCATGGAGAAACAGAAAGATCCTGATGATGTGGCAAGCCCCGTAGCAGTGGCGTGGAGAGGGTTCAGAGGCTGGGGGGAAGAATTCTGGGGAGGTGACCTCAAGTGAGTTACAGTATGGGGAGACAGAAGCAGTAGATGGAGCAGAACCTGGCAGGATGTGCATGCACATACAGACATGAATGGTGGTGAGTGCACAGATAATACAGACGTGCAAATGCGCACTTCCTCACAAACGTGTATGTAGACGTCGCTTCTGCATGCCACGTAAGTGCACACAGATAACACTTGCATGCACTTGCATGCTCACATACATATTCACAAACTCCTGTTGGAACTACACACATACATGAGCCCAAACTCTCACAAGCACACAGCATTCTCACACACACGGGGCTGCATATCCACGCACACACAATGCAGGGTGCGTTCCAACAAGAAGAGGCAATTCAGAGGTCGATAGCTCTGCACCAGCAAAAGCTTCCAGCAGGTCCTGGGAGGCTCTGGGCAGCCTGGGCCGAGGCTGAGCTGGAGCTCTGTTTTTGTGTATGTTGGGGAGGGTGTTGGGGCTTGAGGGCCAGCCATGCAACCGACCATGGACAAGCCCTTGCCCTCTCTGGGCCTCATTCCCCATCTAGAAACAGGAATCGTCCCCGTCCACCTCCTATACGGTGGCCGCAAGGATGAGAGGCTGCTGTGTAGATTGTGGAGAGCAATTTTGGACACTCTGCAGGGCTTCAACAAATTGAAGCTAGTAGTCTCATGAGAAGAAAATAGGTTACGGGCAGAGTGGGGATGCTGGGGCTGTTGCTCTCCAGGCTTCTCATCCCCTGGGGCCTTGGTACTCTCTGAATCATGGGCACGACAGTCCACCCTGCCTGCCTCCCCCAAGGTGGTGGGGGTCTGTGTCATCCCTGCTCCCGCTTTCCCACCTGCACTTCCCTGTTGACTCCTGAGGAGTTGGGAGCCTGCAGTGCCCAGCTTTGGTACAGCAACCACATTTGGCTCCCTGCCAAAAGACTGGCACATTGCCTCCGTGAGTTCTCTAAATCCCCTTGAGAAGCCTGAGAAGAAGGTCTTACCGAGCAATTTCCAGATGAGGAAATCGAGGCACAATAAATGTAGGCGAGGTTCTCAGGGACACCTGCTCATGCGTGTTGGAGCTGGGCTTCAGATCCAGGTCATCAGATGTGAACATTTATGCTCTTTTCTCCCATGATCTCCCTTCAGGGATAGGTCATTTATTACCCGCTTTGCAAATGAGGAAAATGAGGCTCAGAGAGGGCAGGCCACTCAGTCAGGAAGTAGCACAGCCAGGATTGGGTGCTTATTAACCACACTGTACCCTCCTCAATTCAACATTTCCTTTTCCTTTCCCTCCCTCCTTCCCAGAGAGCCCCTCCATGTTAGAGGGGGTTCCCAAGGAGGCTTCTGGGATTATCTGGGCTTTATTTCTGAGCTAGTATTTGCAGGCATATTTGCCATTTTCTTGCAAGTAGAAAGATAGGCTGTTTCTGGGGTCTGCTTTCTAGCATGAACTAGTAACTTCCTCTCCACGACTCCTTTGTAAAGCATCCTTAGGATTGTCCTCTGGAAACTTGGCCAGCAGAAAGCTCTGGGGTACCCAAGAGGCCTGGAGGAGTCCTAGGCCTTTGGAGAGGTAGCCACTGTTTGCATACCCACTGGGAGGCTCTGTGACCTCCTAAAGGGTCAGAGTGTGGGACCACAGCACACGGAGCCAGGGTTCTGCCTGGCATAGGTGGTAGGTTCCCCTATGGAAGAAAATTGGAAAGGATCCCCAGGAGGTGACATTTAAGCTGGGCCTTGGAAAGAGAAATTTGCTAGGTTGATGTCAAAGGCCAAGGAAGACCCAGCAGAAGGCTCCGCTCCACCAGAGTCCCAGAAAAATGAGAGTTTACTCATGGCCCTTCGCACCTGCACCTGCACCCAACAACACCCATCAGAGTCTCCTAGAATCAGGGCTAGCTAATAATTCAGCTGTGGTCCAATGCTAAATGAAAATGCAGAGCCCTTTGTTCATGAATTATAAAGGATTTCAAGATGATGACAGCAAAGTAGGGTCCTTCTAAGCTTGCAGCCCTGTGTGACGGCCCATGAAGCCAACCCTGCTTGAGTAAGTGTAGCAGTTGTGGGGTTTAGCGCCAAGAACTGAGTTCGAGTGCAGGCGCCACCAGTTACTTACCAGCCTGACGACCTTGGGCAAGTCCCCCTCATCTCCATAAGCCTCATCTGCCAGTGAGCGATGGTACCCTCCTGCCTGCAGAGGAGGGTCAGTGGTGCCAGCATCTAGCTTATCCCAAGCAGTCCAGGACAGAAGCTTTGGCCAGGGTGGAACGGCAGCCCTTTCCGTCAGGTAGTGGTATTCAAGGCTCTCCTGCCCCGCCCCATTTACCTTCCAGCGCTGCCCCTGTCTACCTTGGTCGCCTGGTATTTTGTGCTTTTCCAAATCCACCAGGCTGGGCAGTGGAGGATATGGGGAGTCTACTCTGTTTTATTTGCAGAGCCTTCTGTCTGGACTGCCCCTTGCCTACCCATCCATCTCTCCTTGGCGGACTCACTCCTGCAGGTTAGATGTCATGGAGACTTCTTTGACCCCCAGCTCCTCCCTTCCAGCCTTTGCTCTGTGATACCTTCAGTAGCTGCCATGACCTCTTGCACTATAGAGTTCTCTACAGTGTGCAAAGCCCTTTCACACCCATCACACCCTTGAGAACTCTTGAAAGGCCCTACTCCCATTTGCTAGATAGGAAAACAGAGGCTCAGAGGTACAACCACCCTAAGTTCCTAGGCTGAGGTCAGACCCACATTGGGCAGGGGTGTAGACAGTGGCAGCAGAGAGTGGTACCTAGGCTCTACCCTCGGCCGCCTCATCTCGCAGCATTTGGGAAGACTGGCTTTTCCCTTTTGGTAGAAAGCTCCAGCCCCTGGCCTAGGAGAGGTGTGTGGGTTGCTGAAGAGGGTCTGGCAGAGCACGGAGGTCCAGCCAGCTAGAGTAGACACGCGCCCAGCCCTGCTTTTCCCCACAAGTGATGTGGCCCAGTTCACGTTGCTCAGCAGGCTAGAGCCAGGTGTACATGGCTCCGAAGTCTGGGGCGGAGGTGAGAAGGCCCTAGCTGGCCTGGGCTGCAACTGCGGGCAAAGGCTGGCCGGATGAGAGGGGTGTCGCGTCAGGGGCATGACAAACTGTTCCGTATGGCTGGCAGTTCACGAAAGACACTCAGAACACTCTTGGTGGATGAGTGTGGAGGATGCTGGCGGACTGCGGCAGGAGACTGGGCTGAGGCGTGGAGGTTTTCCAGTTCTGCTACCCCTTTCTTTGTGGCTTCTCATTAGTGACTTCACCTCTCTGTGCCCCATTTACTCATCTATAAAAATGGGGAGAATATCTCTCTAGTTGTGAGGGATTCAACGAAGTAAGCCATGGGCACTCTCACAGCCGCACCTGGAGCGTGGTTAGTGCTTTCTGGCACTTTCTAGCATGTAGAGTGGAGGTGGCAGCAGCGGGAGTGAGTGGGGGGCAGACTCTAGGGCTGTGGCCACACAGGAGGGTTTCCCTCCACGGAGCTGCATGGTTGTGTGGTCTTTTAAGAAAACGTGAAGAGGGAGATCAGGGACTGGGGTTGGGCTGGATTTGGGTTTCATATGAGGCAATCCCAAACAGCTGTTGCTCAGAGCTCTGTGGGCAGCCACCTGGGGCGAAGGCTGCACTCTCCTCGCCAGCCCCTCCAACCCCTGGTGTGCGGCTTTAGGCTGCCAGCATGCACACCCTAAGTTGTCAGTCAGCAGACTTCCAGGGTTACATAGGTGGTTTGGGGCTGGCCGTGAAGACCTTGAATGCCAAGCCCAGCTCACAGCAGGCCTGGCCAGGGCCCAGCCCATGGCCACACGGAGCTGGGATTCCAGGGTCCGCATATGGCATGCCTGTCAATCTTCAGCGCCAGCTGAGAATGCACACCTCTCCTCCCACTGCGTGGAATCTGTGGCCTGCAGCCCAGGCCCTCCACCCCAGCCTCTGCAGCCTGCTATGACTCCACAA